GTTCCGAACATTCAGGGAGAAGACATTACTTGCATGACACATTGGCAGAACGAACAAGGTAGACTCGAACATTCCGAGATTCTGCAGCCGTTGCGTTTCAGGTGTTGGGTGGCAGCTCCGTTACTGAGGCCGTATACAAGTCGTCGAGCTCGGCTAGCCGCCGCCAACTAGTCAGCGCAACCTCGGCCACGCGCTCGCATTAGCTCCATGCCCGGTGTACTCATGGTACTTGCGAATTCAAATAAAAATAATTTATACATACATACATTGACGGAAGAGCTAGATACTATACTAACATGTATGTTCAATATTTTGTCGCTGAATTCTTCATGAACCTGGAAACTAAAGAAAAAGAAGTTTTTATAAGTTAAAAAAGAGCGAAGACAACAAGACGACATCAGGACTAAAGTAAAGTAAATTATCGTATCCGTTCCCGAAGGGAACTCACGACGGCCGCTAACACCCGATAAACCCTAGCGGCAGATGCAGCGCCTAACGGTGGGGGTGAGTGGGCAAGTCTCACAACCACTGGCACAAGTGCCGAAAACGACCCCATTAGCTGCATCCATGTACCTCTTGTGCCTGGCCACAAGTTCATATCAGGACTAGTAGTCTCCTAACCCCCTAGCGTGACGAGGGTCAGAACCGGGTGCGATACCCATAATATTATGGTTCAAATGGTCCGCAGGGATCTAGGGACCGGGGCTCTGCCAACCGCGGAAGGTTGTAGTAAGGTCACTGTTTTCGAACACAGTGTCCTCCTCCTTGTTTCATGCTGTCAATCTAACAAATTAAGTAACTACATGTACACGGTACTAGTAACACAACGTGTAGTACTGTAGTGTAGTAGCCTGAATCTCTGAATCTCTGACTGACTGGTCCTTCCAACGTTGCTTTAAACAAATTGAAACCTTCGCATTCCAATTAATATAATTCTTTTAAGAATTATAAAAATTTGTTATGTCGCTCACATGTATAAAAGGAGGCGCCATCGGCCCATCGCCTGTTTGTGTTGCGATTAATGAAAGTTGTGGTTGTTGCTGTTGTTGAATTTTCTGTAAAAATAAAATTCCACAACCGAACCGAACAACACAAAATACGATCAGTCACCGCCACTACACAAAGGTCATTGACGCTGCAAATTTTATTCAAAAGAAATGGAATCTAACAATTGCGTGAACTACAACAAGGTTTATCTAATACTGGTTTACCAGTTCGGGATTATATCATGTAGCTACTTGTGACCAAGGAGCGCTCGATCCTGCTGCTAGCTATGATGTGCTATCGGCATCACACAACATCACATGCATGCAGTGGGGTGGCCATGCCACATTGCATATGCTGCACGCTTCCGGGGCCACTGGTTCAATTACCAATACAGTTGTATTATTATCGAAAGCACTGTTGAAGGTGGTCGAAACCCACGATGTATTTTCTTGGGACTGGTATGAGTTTGTTATCAGGGATTGTCTGCGCCTCATGATTGGTTGTCGGGCGTTCACGGTTATTCTTTATGCCCCAATTGGCTCGCAGCCAACTTGGGAAACTAATCAAACTATGACAGGAAGACAGCCAGAGCAATCAGGCACTGAGCTTCACAAAAACCGTTCAACAAAACAGATGATTCCCGAAACAACTCCCGCCAGGAGGGAAGGCCGAGAGGAATGATCATGTCCATCAGCTTCCGAATTTGACCCATGCGCACCTAGCCTCCCTTACAGCAGAGCCAGTGACGCTTTTTTTGTTGGATTGGGTTGATACCTGGACTGCTGGAGGTTTCAGTTCGAAATGAAGCCTTGGCTACTGGATCATGTGAAGAGACTACTGGTAGGATGGGCGTACTCAACAACATTGCAAGTTTGTGTACCCTTGGATTCCAGTAGGAAGCAGCCTAACGGCAATACTAGTATTGCTTTCATTGTGGGTGGCGCTTTTGTTGAAGACGTTACTAGCCGCTACCAAAGTTTGCAGTGGCGCTTCCTGCCAAATCAGCAACGCTCAGTCAGTACAGAATGTTTTCGATGACGTCACCTCTCATTGGTTGGGCATGGGACACCTACAACTACTGGCAAGGCCTTAAGGGCGAACTGTAGCTTGTTGCAAACCAGGGAGTAAGAAAATGCAATTTATTTACAACTCTCTGAGGCAAAAATGCTAGTCTGAACTTTTCAGACCATGTCGTCATGCATTGTCTTCCAGGGTCTGACGGATGGAAGTGAATAATGGCTTTTAAAGGGGAAGTTAAGGCAAAAATTAAAATTTCACCAGTTGTAGTCTTCGGGGTGCTGAGTCAAATGGTCTTGGTCCGAGAAAGCTGAGGCGCTCCCTTCCTACTTGAATCCCAATCGAACTCGCGCACTTCCACCGAAACTGGGTGACTGCGCCCTACTAGATAGGGATTTGTATGCAAAATGTCACTAAAAGCACCATTAATTTTCGTTCTTATAAAAGCGATTAAGCACGTATGACCGGCCCATATGTTGTAGTCTTTTGGACGCTGAGTCGACTGGTTTTGGTCCGAAAAGGCTGCGATGCAGCGTTCCTCCTTTATTCCCACTCGAACATGGTTGAACAAGCGGTCACGTGCTCCTGCGTACACCAGTCAGCTGGTCACCGTGCCTGCAGGGTACAACTTACTAGCCTTTTTGACCTTTTTTGGGTGCAGTCCTGTCACTCGAGTTGAACTCGAGTTGAACCTTGGTGTGAAAGTTGTCGCCTGCTGCCTGTGCTGGCGTGGTGACCAGGTGATTTGGGCACCCAGGAGCACTTGACCACTTGTTCAACCATGTTCGATTGGGAATAAAGGAGGAACGCTGCATCGCAGCCTTTTCGGACCAAAACCAATCGACTCAGCGTCCAAAAGACTACATGTACAACATATGGGCCAATCGCGGTCATCCGTGCTTTTATAAGAACGAAATGGCGCTTTTAGTGACATTTTGCATACAAATCCCCATCTAGTAGGGCGCAGTCACCCAGTTTCGGTGGAAGTGCGCGAGTTCGATTGGGATTCAAGTAGGAAGGGAGCGTCTCAGCTTTCTCGGACCAAGACCATTCGACTCAGCACCCCGAAGACTACAACTGGTGAAATTTAAATTTTTGCCTTAACTTCCCCTTTAATTTTTGCCTTAATTAAAGGGGAAGTTAAGGCAAAAATTTAAATTTCACCAGTTGTAGTCTTCGGGGTGCTGAGTCGAATGGTCTTGGTCCGAGAAAGCTGAGACGCTCCCTTCCTACTTGAATCCCAATCGAACTCGCGCACTTCCACCGAAACTGGGTGACTGCGCCCTACGAGATGGGGATTTGTATGCAAAATGTCACTAAAAGCGCCATTTCGTTCTTATAAAAGCATGGATGACCGCGATTGACCCATATGTTGTAGTCTTTTGGACGCTGAGTCGACTGGTTTTGGTCCGAAAAGGCTGCGATGCAGCGTTCCGCCTTTATTCCCAATCGAACATGGTTGAACAAGTGGTCACGTGCTCCTGCGTACGCCAGTCACCTGGTCACCGTGCCTGCAGGGTACAACTTACTAGCCTGTTTGACCTTTTTTGGGTGCAGTCCTGTCACTCGAGTTGAACTCGAGTTGACCCTTGGTGTGAAAGTTGTCACCTGCTGGCGTGGTGACCAGGTGATTTGGGCACCCAGGAGCACGTGACCACTTGGTCAACCATGTTCGATTGGGAATAAAGGAGGAACGCTGCATCGCAGCCTTTTCGGACCAAAACCAGTCGACTCAGCGTCCAAAAGACTACAACATATGGGCCAATCGCGGTCATCCGTGCTTTTATAAGAACGAAATAAAGGCCTTAGGCCTGTGGGGATTGCCCTATTCAAAATTTAAATAATAATAATAATAATAATAAATGGCGCTTTTAGTGACATTTTGCATACAAATCCCCATCTCGTAGGGCGCAGTCACCCAGTTTCGGTGGAGGTGCGCGAGTTCGATTGGGATTCAAGTAGGAAGGGAGCGTCTCAGCTTCCTCGGACCAAGACCATTTGACTCAGCACCCCGAAGACTACAACTGGTGAAATTTTAATTTTTGCCTTAACTTCCCCTTAAGTAAGTCAAGAAACGAGTAGAGTGGCTGCTTTGTCAGAGCCTCAAGTAGCCCTTGGCGGATTATGCCGGCATAATATTTGGCATAATCTTGGGATTTCGTCAAAAAAGTATGCTCCGGCATATTCCAACGTGTAAGGTCGGCATAATCTTTTGGTTTAGACAAAAATTATGCTTAGGGCACAATACAGCTTTGTCAAAAAATTATGCTCCGGCATAATTATACGGATTCCAATGTGTAAGGTCGGCATAATCTTTCGGTTTAGACAAAAATTATGCTTAGGCCGCGCTGTAACTTAGGGCATAATACAGCTTTGTCAGAAAGCCCTGGGGCCGCGTGTGTGTATGCGTGGTTTCTGAATCCTCTATGTACAGCGTGAATTCATAGTGGAACCGAGCATAATTCAGCATAATTCAGCATATTTGTTGGCATAATGGTGGCATAATCAAAAGCATAATTTGACGATTGCCCGAGCATAGTCCGCCAATGGCTAGCCTCATGAGCCATGATTTGATGACATTCCGATGATCCGGAACAAGAAACGAACCCCTTCAACGTCTTTTATTCATCATGAACAGGTACAGAATTGATTTCGTGTCCACCTGCCCACAAATGAAATACACAAGTACTATTTGAAGTACTAGTAGATGTTAGACTTGTTCGCACATCCAGAACCTTGCGCACAGTCATCCTACCCTAGGAGAAGAACACACTTTGAAATCTGCCTGGTATCTCTGTTAGTGAAAAAATGAGTGACCATGTGAGCGCTGCTGATGGAAATAATAATTATTTGTCGGCACAAGTGGAGGAGAGGTACAGTACCGAGTAAGTATGGACAGAGTGAGTGCCGGGATATGGGGAAGACGGCTGGGGAGAGAAAGAGAAAATTAGAGAAAGCCAGGGAGAGGGGCAGAGAGAGGGCAGAGAGAGGGCAGAGAGAGAGAGAGAGAGAGAGAGAGAGAGAGAGAGAGAGAGAGAGAGAGAGAGAGAGAGAGAGAGAGAGAGAGAGAGAGAGAGAGAGAGAGAGAGAGAGAGAGAGAGAGAGAGAGAGAGAGAGAGAGAGAGAGAGAGAGAGAGAGAGAGAGAGAGAGAGAGAGAGAGAGAGAGAGAGAGAGAGAGAGAGAGAGAGAGAGAGAGAGAGAGAGAGAAAGAGAGAGAGAGAGAGAGAGAGAGCACACCGCACACCGCAGGGAATATCCGTTATGCCATTCTAGTCTTTTCTGGCCATGCTTTCTTCCAGGATATCTGTCGAACTGAATGTAGCTTATACCTGAGCATCAACGCCTGCCTTACAAACATCGTCACCGAGTTCATCGCCTGTGCAAACCCCCTCTCTGTCCTGCAATCCTGGGAAGCAGATGACCGTTCCCTCATCACACTGGCTCTGTGCATGTACTGTCATAGGTACGTGCGTAGTGCAGCATGGAGTGTCCAGTTCCAAACTGCGACCCACATATCTAGAGTGTTGATCTTGACCTGTAGCACCAGTGAACACTGCGGTCATGCGCTCGCTACCCATGAGTCGGACAGCTCGGTCGGCTGTGTCGTCGTCTTTGACCCGTCCCAGCTTTCGCAGCGGCTGCAGGAAGACGACCAGAAAGAAGGCGGTGGCAACCTCTAGCGTAACGACGTGCAGTACACTGTCTTCAGCCTGCGGTGACCACGCTTCATTGGCTCTTGACGACATGATGAGAAACGTAACGGCTAGTAGCGAGGATAGGCCAGCCGCCACGGACATCATGGGGAACATGCGAGTGCGCAGATCATACGCGCTGTGCCGTCCTATTCCTCGCTGCTTGACCGTTGCCACCATGATCACACAGAGCCCAATCAGAACGGCATGCAGCACGCACAGGTAGGCTACGAAGGCAGTGTCGACGGACCGGAATCCGCAGCGCTGCTCGACCCGGACGTGATCGTACACGGTCTGCACGGCGGATGTGCACTGACCATGCGAGCAGGAGATGATCAGCAAACACAGGGTGACACCCTCAGCAGCCATGCTCCACACTACACGATACCTGGGCAATGCTAAGATCCAGGAGACGGACATGTCTCGTACATCCGTGACACGGTACAACGCATAGGCAACCAGGGAAGAGCTGACTGCAGTCAAACCGATGGAAGACAGGAACACCCGCATGAAACAAGCCCCGGCAGTTGGACCTCCAATCTCCACCAAGCCGGAAAGGTAGGCGAGGAGAAATCCCGACAAGCATAGGAGAGTGGGCTCCTTGCCAAGTACGAAGAAGCTTCCATCCCTGGCTTTCCTCAGGCTGTGCAGAATAGCAGCGATCATTCCTGCGACGCCAAGAGCTGACAGGATAACCATCACGAATGGGAGAACACCGGACGCCATGGAGAATCTCTCTGTAACCACATTGCTGCACGTCGCACTGGCTTCAGAACTAGTTTCGTCACGTGAGCATTCGCTGCACTGTGAATTCGTGGACGAGTTCGAATAGTAGTTGGCTGGACATGGCTTGCATGACCAGCAGCACGTCTGGCACGCCGTCTCTCCGCCGAAAAGTCGCTTGTAGCCGACCGGAGGGCACGGCTCACTGCACATCGATACAGGTCTTGTAGAGAGGCCGGAATTCCAGGTCACTGCCGACTCGTTCAAATAGAATGTCTCCGTCACGCAGGTGACAGTGCCATCAGACGTTATGATGCTGCTGGGGCAATCGGACGGCGCCTTCACCACAGCCCTGGCGGCGCCGTAATGACCAACATCGGTGAACGTGAATTCCGTTCCGTCGGAACCTGATGGCACTTGGATATTCTTGATGTTATAGATAGGGTTCGCTGTGTCACCATTCGAATCAAACTGGAACCTTCTCTTGTCGAAGGTAGTGAAATTTACCGTCTTCAGCGCTGAAAACAGATCTCTACTGGCCCTTCGCTTTAAGCAGTCCTTGCTTTCATTGCAGCGTGTGTAGATCGCGTCGAGAGCGGAGGCCATTGCCAGTACTGCAGTGTAGATGTGTGGAACTTTGCTTATCATCATGTAGTTCTTGGCCAGGGTGTTCTTGGTCACACAGTCGCCGCCGTCGTCAGCCAGTGCAGTGCTATTGATCTCGGCGGCACTCTCACTATCAGTGCCATTGCTGCCACGGTTGCTCATTGCCGGCGTGGCTTCGCAGCTGAACACATCATACCACAGGTCCTTCAGCCAGGGAACGTCTCTGTTGCGTGCCGGATTGAGCTGCGACCAGTGCCGTCGGAACTCGTTGTGCGGCGAGACCTTGGAGACGGCACTCACTGCTCCGCGTGTGAGGTCCAGTGAACCCACAACCCCGAGTGCAATATCACCCCATCCGTCCGAGCCTATGAAGGTGATATTGCGCTCCAGAGCATCCCTATACATCTTGGCACCGCCATAGTTCCTCGGATAATTGAAAAAATAGTTGGACTCCACCGGTAGGGTGATGACCACTATTACAGTCGACCTGTTGATGGGCTCCGTGTAGAGAATCTCGTTCCAAATGTCGCCTAGTCGACTATCGTTACTGGGCTGTCCATACTCAAACTCCCACGTCTTCGATTGGCACAGATCGGTAACATCATGCGACGAGGACATTGACGACTCGACGGGGCAGCTCTCCTCGGTCATACCAAGTGCATTCTTTACCGTGGCAATACCATCCGTGCCGTAGTGGTCCGATGTGTACACGAACCCGACGAAGTTCCAATTCAGCTTGCGAATGATAGACGCTATGGCAACTCCGGTACGAGCGTGGCTCGGCACGGTTCTGAAGAAGTAGGGAAAGTCGGCCTTTTCGCTGAAGCGAGGACTGGTTGAAGCATAGCTGATCATGGGGATGCGAAACAGACCTAGTAGCTGTGCAGTTTTGGCACTAACCGCACTCAGAGCTGGTCCCACAATACCCACAACGTTTGGTTCTGTTAGAGCACCGGGCAAAGAATTCCACTCAGTACACTTCTCGTCGCCATTCGTGGACCGGCCTAAGAATTCCAGACTCTGACGTAACGCGTATGTGGGTGACGTACACGTGTCTCGGATTTCGTAACCAAGCGTTACGTTCGGGAGAATATCCGGGTTCTTGTTGATTTCGTCCACAGCTGCACGCATGGCTTCTGGCAGTTGCAAGAACTCATAGCCCAATGTCGGACGATTAGGACATTTTCCAGTGGTCGAATCCAATCGGTGGATGGGGAACAATCCACCAATGTATAGATCAGCGTTGATCTCATCCCTACTGCAGCCATCCTCGGTCAAGGCTTGGTATGGCGCGCATGGCCCGAGCATGACTTCATCCGCAGCGCCAGTATGCACAGACATGGTGGCCAGGACAATAAGTGTGGCGGACAAGCACTGCGCCACACTCCGCACACCACCACCACCACCACCACCACAGGAACAGTCATTACGTGGCCCTGTCCAACCCAGTAGTACTGCTAGGGCTTTCACAAGGCCGCCTTCACCTCGCCTCCTGTCCATAGCCGCAAGCCGGGCCGGCGTTGCAAGGAAAGACGCTAACAGAGGCTGAGAGGGGGCGATCTCCAGTATCACTACACCCACAACTGGCAAGAGTGTCAGTGTGCCCCGCAAGCGTTTCTAAGTGGGCCTTGGAAAGAAAGAAAAAAAGAAGGGAAGAAGAGATCGTCTAGCCTACTAAAGAGTTCTGTGCTCGTTCACAGCACAGCTACATGTAGACGTGTACACAAGATGAGCTAGATGGTAGTAGTACTGGTACACCTGCTGGCCGAGTTGGACGGTTAGCACCGATCCATGGAAAGAAGGACCGACATTACCGTTGCCAACCAATAGTGTCCACTGTATTAGAAGTACGCGGGAGCCACTAATTCGGTCTACAGCTTACAAGCCTACTGAGTAGATCTACTGTAGCAGCGTCGTCTAAAGTAAAGGTGACGCTAGCAAACCACCTGCGTAGTGTGCTGATTCGGATTACCGGTACGTTATCTACCCCGTTCGCCAAACCTCACCCCCTGATCTACTGAGCGATGACTTCGTGAACCGACTGCGTTTGCATCGAGGAAAATGGACAACCATCCGTCCGATGCGGGCGATGGTTTGTAAATTCACACACCTGGTTCGTTCACCGCACGTTTCGTCGTTCCTGAAAAGACAGTTGTACACACGTGAGTCGATGCAGTCGCCGTCATCTCAGTCTAAACTAAAGCCAAAGGCAACGAACTGAAAATCATGTAGACATGTACATAAAAATAATAATTTGTGGTCGACACTGCCGAATGTTCATGCCATCTTTAGCTTTGTGTCGCTGCCCACACGCGTCAGGCGTCCGGCAACACGAAACAACCCCGAGGTAGAGTCTACCATGCATGGTCTACAAGTCCAGCGAGCGAGTGGCACGTACCGCGTACCGCTACGCCGCGTGCATATAATTATAATTATCATGTGACATCCGGCCGGGTGTCTAGCAGAGGTGTTTTCCAGTCACCATGGTCACGGTAAGTGACCGTGCCAGCCATCACCAGACATGAAGAACATCCGTCTATGTCACAGTGTAGACTGTACGCGTGTATGTACGAGTATTTTAAATGCCTGCGGCATCGACCGTGCAGACGATGCTGGCATAGGCATAGACGATGCTGGCATAGATCTACATGACCATGATGACTGTACTATCGCAATCGCTTCGTGTGGATAGCACAAGCAACAAGAACATCCTCCTCTAGTGCTCTACTTGTGCAAGGCTATGCATGGGCGAGTATGCCATGGTTCGCTCGATCGACACTACAATCAGCCATGCAAGATCAACCATCTTCCTTTGACACGAACAGCTACTACTGTACCAGCGTACGTGCTGCATTAGCCACTGAGGAAAGTGGACACGTAGCCACGCTTGAAGCGTAGGATCTTGCAATGGTTACATCGTCGTAGGTACAAGTATGAAGAGGTTCTACAAGTAAAGTCAGACAATGAATTTATGGCATTCGAACCAACTGCAAAACAAGTTGTAACACATAGCGAGGAATATGCCACGAATTTCACCACACAACAGTCAAACCTGCCATACTGGCTACTGGCCAAACGTTTGGATCACAGTCAGAGCTAGCTTACAACTGCACGCAGTGCCATGCATCCCCCCCCCCCCCCCATATGCATTATGATGATCCTTACGACATGTTATGGATACATAGTCCATCCAGAGCTGGACACACCCTAAACTAAAGCCAAAGAGATGGCATGGTGGTCTGTATGAATCTTTCATGACACAAAGCCCAGTCAACAATGGATCTCGGCCACGGCCGGAGCCCCGAGGCGGAAAACGCACGTCAGCTGACCGTGTCGGAGAAGGCTCCTTCCAAAGCGGACATCACTAGCAGTTACAGTTGGATTCAGACTGTCACAGTCTGTTGATGTCCTAGCATGAACGCATTCCCAAGGATACATGTGGACCATAAGCGAGCATGGAGAAGTAGCTTACATTATTATTATTATTATTATTATTATTATTAAGAAAAGGGTTTGCTCCCCACACCGGAGCTCGCGCTATTCCGCCGACGTTACTTGACACTTGACTGACTCACGACTGCCAGCCAGAGCACACGAGAAGTCCATCGAACCTTCGACTCGGCAAACCTGCAAGAAAGCACCACTCCCTGCTCAATACACAGTGTTTCGGGGAATTCACCCCTCATCAGTTGAGCTTGAGTAGGCTGAGGAAGATTGTGCCTGAAGAGCACCACTTATATAGTGCTCTCCAGGCACAACCATCACCGGGGATACAAACTTACAGAGACGCTCCGTTTTCAGCGCGACAAACACCTCGTGAGCACCAGATAGCAGCGTGAGTCAGTGTCGCTCCTGGACGGTGAGACAGACGTCGAGGACCCTCGGTCATTCGCAACGCTGTCACCTCCAAACCAACTAGTCGCAAGCCCGCGCTGGGCACAACAGTACGAAGTAGTGGTTGCGACCTCGGCGATGATTTGTAAGAAAAGGGTTTGCTCCCCACACCGGAGCTCGCGCTATTCCGCCGAAGTTACTTGACACTTGACTGACTCACGACTGCCATCCAGAGCACACGAGAAGTCCATCGAACCTTCGACTCGGCAAACCTGCAAGAAAGCACCACTCCCTGCTCAATACACAGTGTTTCGGGGAATTCACCCCTCATCAGTTGAGCTTGAGTAGGCTGAGGAAGATTGTGCCTGAAGAGCACCACTTATATAGTGCTCTCCAGGCACAACCATCACCGGGGATACAAACTTACAGAGACGCTCCGTTTTCAGCGCGACAAACACCTCGTGAGCACCAGATAGCAGCGTGAGTCAGTGTCGCTCCTGGACGGTGAGACAGACGTCGAGGACCCTCGGTCATTCGCAACGCTGTCACCTCCAAACCAACTAGTCGCAAGCCCGCGCTGGGCACAACAGTACGAAGTAGTGGTTGCGACCTCGGCGATGATTTGTAAGAAAAGGGTTTGCTCCCCACACCGGAGCTCGCGCTATTCCGCCGACTTTACTTGACACTTGACTGACTCACGACTGCCATCCAGAGCACACGAGAAGTCCATCGAACCTTCGACTCGGCAAACCTGCAAGAAAGCACCACTCCCTGCTCAATACACAGTGTTTCGGGGAATTCACCCCTCATCAGTTGAGCTGGAGTAGGCTGAGGAAGATTGTGCCTGAAGAGCACCACTTATATAGTGCTCTCCAGGCACAACCATCACCGGGGATACAAACTTACAGAGATGCTCCGTTTTCAGCGCGACAAACACCTCGTGAGCACCAGATAGCAGCGTGAGTCAGTGTCGCTCCTGGACGGTGAGACAGACGTCGAGGACCCTCGGTCATTCGCAACGCTGTCACCTCCAAACCAACTAGTCGCAAGCCCGCGCTGGGCACAACAGTACGAAGTAGTGGTTGCGACCTCGGCGATGATTTGTAAGAAAAGGGTTTGCTCCCCACACCGGAGCTCGCGCTATTCCGCCGACGTTACTTGACACTTTACTTCGTATTATTATTATTATTTTAATATGGCAATAAGTAGGACGAGCTGAAGCGACATGTGGACTACTTTATTAACAATGTAAGCGATGGAGACGATGCAAGAAACAATCTAAAGGGTAAGGAAAATACATGTAAGAAGAAAAAGGGCAATGGAAAAAAAAGATGATTCGAACAAGTTTTCGTACAACACTCTTCAGGAATCACCGTTGTACTAAAGAACAAAATGAGAACAAAGGAAATAATATAGCAATCAAGGTAGGGTGACACGATACAATGACAGCACTGGAATATCGAGGTGCGATTTCTCACAAAAGCGTGCAGAACACAAGGGTATACAAGTAAGAACTAAGCGTGACAAGTGTGTATCAGCAACAAAAACAAAAAAGTGAGAACGAATGATAATAATAACAATAATAAACAAGAAGGTGACAAAACACATTTAGGCACAAGTGGCCGCAACAACGTTGCCACACTACACAAAAGAACATTATTTGAACAATTTTAGGGTAATAACACTATCTTTCTGGACACACAAATTCGGCTTATGAATGCGCTGACAAACAGCTTCCAAAACTTGTAACTGCAAAAGATAACCATGACGAGCACGGCACAAAACAGAAAAACAGGAATCAGAATAAGTACGACAACAGTCAGTACTAGAAACCAAATGATTGTATACTGAAGACTTATTACGAGACGGACGCACACAATCTCGACTCACGCGCACACCCTCACACTCACTCTCACCCTCACTCAGCTCACCTTCTCCCTCACTGTCCGAATCAGAACCTGCTCCGTCATCCACAGCGGTTCGACTCTCCTCCTCACTTGCATCGTCCTGCGTCTCACCTTCACCACCCACGCCAACCGTGAATGCCGTTGCCTTCATGTCAGTCGTCGTCCTTTCCGATTGTTTCCTTTGTATTTTTACCGTGAATTCATAGGTCCGGTTGTAATCTGCTGTAGATCTCCGTGGTCTGTCATTTGCTGCTTTATTCACGGCTTTATTCACGGTAAAAATACAAAGGAAACAATCGGAAAGGACGACGACTGACATGAAGGCAACGGCATTCACGGTTGGCGTGGGTGGTGAAGGTGAGACGCAGGACGATGCAAGTGAGGAGGAGAGTCGAACCGCTGTGGATGACGGAGCAGGTTCTGATTCGGACAGTGAGGGTGAGAGTGAGTGTGAGGGTGTGCGCGTGAGTCGAGATTGTGTGCGTCCGTCTCGTAATAAGTCTTCAGTATACAATCATTTGGTTTCTACATGTAGTACTGACTGTTGTCGTACTTATTCTGATTCCTGTTTTTCTGTTTTGTGCCGTGCTCGTCATGGTTATCTTTTGCAGTTACAAGTTTTGGAAGCTGTTTGTCAGCGCATTCATAAGCCGAATTTGTGTGTCCAGAAAGATAGTGTTATTACCCTAAAATTGTTCAAATAATGTTCTTTTGTGTAGTGTGGCAACGTTGTTGCGGCCACTTGTGCCTAAATGTGTTTTGTCACCTTCTTGTTTATTCTTGAATTGTTTGCAGGCAACCTGCCTACACTCAAGAGAGCACTGCATTTCACACAAATCCATTGGTATCGTTACAACGTTTCGGTCTTTATGACCATCATCAGGAATGAAGTGGACATGGAAAGAACAGCAGTATAAAAGAAGGAGGCAAGCAAGCAAAGCGCGGTACATAGTGACAGCGCGCGTAGAGAAGTGCAAAGCACGTCATGGCGGGTGTGCATTACTACATATACATGACAACACAAGCACAAACGGCGAGGAAAGTAGATACTGCGCTACAGCAGTGATAACAGCCCAGTTCCAGTCTCACACCACCAGTGAGGTGTCTAGAGCCCCGCGCCACTCGCAGTAAGGTGGTAGGCATCGCGACGGGTAGCTCTGGAAGGACGGGAACCTATAGTATAGGCTGGGGCACGCTGCGCTGAATAAAATATGGGACTAAATGTTTCCGCCGACATTGAAGCAGAAAATGCACCTGACAAAGACTCCGCTCTAGTTTCCATGCCCACTTCACGAACAACCAGGGCGTCTGAGTCCTTGAGGGGGAGAACCGTTTCAAAA